ACGCCACCGCCGGTTGCGGCTGCCTCACCTTGGGAGCCATATCCTCTGCCGTAGCCGCCTACACCCACTGTGCCCGTCGCGGCGGACCCCTGGCTGCTGTTCGGAGCGGCAACGTCACCGCTGGCCCCTGTCGATGCCCCTACGTCACCGCCGGACTCCTCCTCCTGCTGAACACCTCCAACATCCAACGCTCCCCTCATCAACGATGGAAGCTGGCTCATCACCTGGCTCATCATGGCTTGCATCCTGCCTTCCATCGCTTCGCCTAACCGCTGTTCTATGCCAGTCAACCGAGCGTCCAGTTCAGCGTCGTTGACGCTGGCTGCTGGAACCCCGGCGTCACCCTTATTCAACGCCATGGTCCGCTCTGTCAAAGAAGATCTTCCCGGGAAGGAGCGCTAGCGTGTTCGTGAGCTCTGGCAACAGTACTTGCCGTGCGGACTTGGGGCTGCTGTTTAACTGGTTGAATTAGCACGCGATAGAGAAGGCACGAAGGGAGAGAGAGCGGAAGGAGAGAGTGCCCCGAACTTACGAAAAAAACGGGGGCTCCGCGCTCTCACCAAACTGTCTCGCCACATACCTCTCCAGGTATATCCTATCTGCGTCCTACGTAACGGCTACTTTTGGCTTGTCTACTCCTACGTACGAACAGAGGTGAGAGTAGCCGCTGCTCACAACCAAGATTATTGTAGTGTCATGGGAGATGGTGGTGCTGCTGTTGGCGTTGGATACGGAGCCTCAACCCCAGCGACGGGGTACCAAGGTGTGCGGTACACTTCTACTCCGTTCAGCGGGAAATCGAAAGATTTCAACGAATGGCTAAATGATTTCCGCATGGAAGCTAATGGCGCAAACCTGTTGGAACAATTTAAAGAGAGCGGGAGCTTGGAGATCCCCGTCAACAGCGGAAAGAGCAATTTTTCGGTGTCACAGCAGTACCGGAGCGAGCAAGCAGAGCTCGCATTCCACGCGTGGAACTTCCTGTCTTACTCGTTGAAAGAAAAAGATCGGAAAATCATGAAGAGGGCAGAGACGCCCCANAGAGAGCGGGAGCTTGGAGATCCCCGTCAACAGCGGAAAGAGCAATTTTTCGGTGTCACAGCAGTACCGGAGCGAGCAAGCAGAGCTCGCATTCCACGCGTGGAACTTCCTGTCTTACTCGTTGAAAGAAAAAGATCGGAAAATCATGAAGAGGGCAGAGACGCCCCAGGGAGCTCTTCGTGAGCTCAAGACCATACACGACCCTGAATCATCTGTACAGCCGTCAGAGGACCTCAAGTCCCTGATGTCGACCAAGATTTCTGGAGGTGAAAACCCTCAAAACGCCCTAAATGAGATGCTCCAAACCGCAAAGTCCTTCACCGAGAAAGGACTAGCTGTCAACGAAACGTTCGTCCTTCACCTCTTCCTGGATGCCCTTTCGGACGAGTATGCCATGACAAAGCACAACCTGCGACACGCGAAGGAGTTGACCCGGACCGGTGTGCGAAAGGAAGTAATGATCGAATACAAGGTGTACATATGCCCAATTTGCGTGCCCTATCTTGTTGCCGGTAGATCTAACCGGTCCGTATCCAAACACACGAACAAGTGTTCTCTGTCTGGCGGCGGGGCACGGAGAAGCATAGTCGGCCACACACCGTCAAGACATGCTGTTCATCTTTGAGCCAGACCCCGAGTGAGCAGACTCTGAATTAGCGAGCGCTCGAGATTCGATACCAGCAACGGGTGCGTGCTGCTCCATCGAGGACTTTCATCGTGAAAAAAACTCCACCCTTATCGTCATCATGTCAGTCCAAGTCGAAGGGGCGTGGCAACGGCGGCGGGGGAAGTGGAGGCGGTGCTGCTATCGTCAACGGAGGGGGCAGGCGGTGCGAGTTCTCCTGTTCTTTCTGAGAGGCACCAGCTATGGTGAGGAAGAACCTTTGCAGAGCGTGTTATGGAATTCATTTGTTTTTGGTATGCGTACACTGTCCCTATGTGCTACTTCCTCTGTTGTTGCGGCCTTGTCCGTCCCGCAGACGTAGCTGCTTGGGTAAACACTAAGAGTCCAGCCAGCATTGCATGCACGCTGCGCCGAGAGGTATCGTTTGGTTCATGTTCACCTGTTTCATGTGATGTGTTATCCCGGCTGAGTCATCCTGAAAAATATCCCGAACGGCGTACCGGTTGGATGAGGCAGATACACACAAAAAATAGACACGACAATGCGTGTCCTTTCGCGATTGTAACCCTGCTTCGAGATTCCGCGGCGTCTTTTGATTGGACAACTGGCCGTTTGGCGCGGTCGATGCTTGCTATGGAAATCCGCACACACGTGTACCACAGCATGTTTGAGTGTTTGTCGGCAACTCTAGCTGTTTCATTTTCTGGTGCGTTTCCTTCTTCGGTCGTGCGTATCTTCCAGCTGGGTCGACACAGTGTTTTATGAATATAGTACTGATGCGCGACGCCGTTCGTGACGCTCGTGCCCCCCGTCCCTGCCTGTCCTTCTCGCATACACACCCCTCAACGATTTGGGTACCTCCCTTACTCCAAGTACGTGTCGCCGCCGATCCTTCTCGCGCACCCCCACCTTCATCTATGCCACTAGTGACCGCTGTCGTGCCCCCTCCCTTTTGCTTGGAGCGAGGGCTGGCGCTCCATCCCCGACGCCGTCCCCCCGGGGCACCTGGAAGGAGAAGCGGCACATTCCCCTTCGGCAACGGTGATGGGTTGGCGGCGGCTACCGATGAAGGCTCGCGGGGAGAGGCTAGTGGCAGGACAAGTTGGGCGCCTGGAGCTGGATTGCAAATTGTTTGGTTGGGGGAGGGAGCGGCTCAACCCGGATCGTTGCACCTCCGGTGCGTCCGTCGTCCGCGCTCGTTCTGTGAGAGAGTTCGCCCGGCGGAGAGACGCCGCCAGCGCTCGATCTGCTGCGATCTCTTGTTTGCTCCGGGCCGCGAGTTGTCTATCAGTATGTATGCTGTAGAACTGGCGGGAGCCTCGCTCTCCGTGCTAGCGGACAGCTAGCTGCCTGTGTTTCGTGAAAGTGCAAGATACTCGCACTGTTCTAAACGCACAGTCCTTTGTGATGGGTTTTGGTATACCAGGAATTACTGATGTAGTACGTCGTGCAAGGTGCTGGAGATCACATACCCACCCTTGCAAGGCACGGCGAAAATGAATGGTTCGAGGTGGCCGTGCAGCATCTTTTCCCAATGGGCAACGTCATTCTACGGCCCAGAAATCGCAGACCTTGGACAAGGTTCGCCTTTGAGGTGACGTTGGGGCCATTCTATCTTGCCCAGCGTGCAAGATTATAACGGACCTTGCCTAACGTTTGACCTTGCATGACCTTGGGGCATTTTTAACCTTGCACAAGGTCCTTCAAAGGTTCAGAAATCTCAGACCTTGGACATGATTCGACTGTTAGTGGACCTTGAGACCATTTCACCTTACCCAGGGTGCGTGTAAGGTTACAGTTCCGCTGGACCTTACACAAGCTTTGACCTGTGTGACCCTGGGGCGTTGTCCACCTTTGCAAAGGTCCTTGTAAGGTCCAGAAGTCGTCGACCTTAGAAACCGTTCGACCTTGTGTGATCTCAGTGCTTTTTCCACGTTGTCCATGGTCCTTTTAAGGTCAAGAATCGTAGACCTTGGGCATGGATCGCCATCGTGGTGACCTTGGGGCACTTTTTCCTTGGGCAAGGCCCTTCTAAGGATCAAGGAATCGTAGACCTTAGACATGATTCGCCTATGTGGTCCCCTTGTGGCTTTTTCACCTTGCCCAGGGTGCGTGCAATGGTTCAGTTCCGCCGGGCCTTGCCCAACGTTTGACCTTGCATTACCTTGGGGCCTTATTTACCTTGCGCAAGGTCCTCCTAAGGTCCAGACATCGTAGACCTTGGACATGGGCACCCTTGTGGTGACCTCGGGGACATTTTTTCCTTCGCCAGGGTGCGTACCAGGTCTGTCCAAAGGTACCGGTGGTGGGTCAACCTTATGTACGGGAGGGGTAGCGTCCACCCTAGTGCTTGGGCGGTGGCAGCTGACAAACGTGAGGCACACGCCCACCGGCTCCATGTCTCAACAACCAAAAATTTCACATGCGTATACAGACTGTACGTACGCCTTGCAAGCAATCTGTCGGAAGATCTCCGCAGATCCTGGGCTATTCGCTAAGACCTGCAGCAGTAGGAAGCAGATCTACCCGCCCACTTTGTGCTCGCATATGTTCTTTACTTGCAAGGGGAAGACGTTTTATCTCTTGTTTTAGACACGCAAGGGGAGTAGGGAGAAGTGAAGCCCTCTTTGGATTTCGAGGGGTCCCCGCACATGCAACCATTTCAAGGTGTACATATGCCCCATCTGCGTGCCCTCTGTTGTTGCCGGTAGATCTAACCAGTCCGTATCCAAACACACGAACACCCTCCCCGGTTTGCACGCAAATGGCAAACCTAACGTGGGGCATGGATACCCCTGATCTACCAAAGGGACTCAAAACAACAACAGGCTCGAGGGGAAATCCGGCCAACCGGATCAAAAACCCTCGTCTAACACCCTAAAAATAGAAAAACCGTCGCTATCACGGAGGATTCCAACGGCCGCACTTCCAAGACAAGACCAAGGCAGGACAGATTGAACCGGTCACGCTGATTACACACCCGAAGCAACGCTCTCGGCGTTTCTAGGCTCCAGCCGCGGGTGATACGCCGGCACAACGCTTCCTGCGTGACGTACCATGGTCATATATGCCAAGTGCTAAAACCACCACATAAACCAAAGAGAACAAGAGAACACTACATCAGTAGGTTCATCAGAGCCTTTCGGTGGTACTCTAACTTCTCTCTGCCAAGGACCTTGGTCAGCATGTCGGCGTGCTGCTCTCCAGTCGGAACATACTCTGCAGTGATCTTGCCCGACTTGGATAGCTCGCGAATGAAATGGAACCGCACGTCGATGTGCTTGCTCCTCGCTGAGCTGAACGGGTTCTCGATTAAGGCGCGAGCCCCCTTGTTGTCCTCAATTACCTTGATCTTCGCCCCACTCGTTTCGGGCGCTATGAACGACAGAACGCCACGCATAAACAACGCGTCTTTCACGCCCTCCCCGGCTGCCATATACTCTGCTTCCGAGGTCGACTGAGCCGTCACTGGCTGCGTCTTGGTGGATGCACACATTACGGTACCACCTACGGTCACAGCTAGCCCGGTCGTTGAACGCCTGTCTACTTCGTTGCCAGCGTAGCTGGCATCGACAAACACGCTGAGGTCCTGACCCCCGTACGTAAGTGATACCGAAGTCCTTCGTGAAGTTCAGGTAGGACATGATCCGCACAAGCGCGTTACATATCCTCCCGGTGGGTGAGTGGTCGATCTTCTGGAGCTTGTTCAGAGGCAGGGCGATGTCTGGCCTCGTCAGCTTCGTCCACATCAGGCATCCGATCGCCTCCCTCACAGGCTTATCCACCGCGGGCTCGTCATCTCTCTTCGGCCCTAGGTCGGCATCGGTGGCAGCAGGGGTGAAAGCGGTAGTGGTCACATCAAACCGCTTCAGCATACTCTCAATGTATGCTGTCTGGGACAGCTTGGTGATGCCATTTTCTACATCCATGGCGATAGCACACCCGTCGTACCAGGTACACTCCCTCAGATCTTTCACCGGAAACTTCTTGTTGAGGGAAGCGAACACCTCCTCTCGCTCACTGTCTGCCGCCACTAAGATGTCATCAACGTAGGTCACGATGAGACCTAGGACCTCTCCATCCACCACCTTCCGGATGACACATGGGTCAACCCTGCACTGCTCGTATCCATTCTCGATGAGGGCATCGGCAGCTTCAACCCCCCACTCTCGACCACTCTGCTTTAGGACATGCAGGGCACACGCAACCTTTGCCGGACATGCTACCACAGCCTTCCGGGAATCTGAGGTGTATTTCTTCTTTTAGCTTAGCGTGGATGTACGCTGGTTTCACATCCCAGTGAGCGAGTTTCTTGCCCTTTTCAGTGGCTACGGCAATCACCGTCTTGAAAGACGCGGCAGTCGGGCACGCTGAGGATGAGTGGTGGAAGTCGATGCCGGGGATTTGAGGGAAACCCCGTGCAACCATACGGGCCTTGAAGTCGACTATCAGGCCCTTCTCATTCGTCTTCCAAGAGAACACCTACTTTGAACCTATGGCCTTCCGCCCCTCGGGCAGCTCCTTGACCTTGGTTAAGGTTCCTGTCTTGTCGTGGCCATCTATCTCTTTCTTCATGACCGTCTCCCAAAAAACCTTGTACTTGGAACATATCAAATCCTTGTACGTCATCGGTACTGCTTCCACATCACTCGGCTTCTGCCCGATTGGCGAGGTCATACTCAGCTATGGGTCTGGGAGTGGTTGCGAAGACCCGCTGGCGTCGACCTCGGCCTCGNCTACTTTGAACCTATGGCCTTCCGCCCCTCGGGCAGCTCCTTGACCTTGGTTAAGGTTCCTGTCTTGTCGTGGCCATCTATCTCTTTCTTCATGACCGTCTCCCAAAAAACCTTGTACTTGGAACATATCAAATCCTTGTACGTCATCGGTACTGCTTCCACATCACTCGGCTTCTGCCCGATTGGCGAGGTCATACTTAGCTGTGGGTCTGGGAGTGGTTGCGAAGACCCGCTGGCGTCGACCTCGGCCCCGAACGCCTGCTGTTCCGGGCCCAACACCTCCTGCATCTCGCGCCTGTACATCTCCTCCATACGGCGTGTCTGCTCCTCGTCCCACTGCTCCTTCACAAGCGAGTTGCAGATGTAGTCCTCAACAATCCCCGTCCCGCCAGTTTCCAGGATGGTCGCCAGCAATGCCTCTTCCGGGTCCGGTGTTTCTCCGGGCCCCGGCATCTCCCCGGCACCTTGCATCTCCCGGGTCTGCTTCTGCGTGCGGCCACTCTCAAGCCCATGGCGCAGCGGGCCAGCGTTCGTGGCGCCCCAGAGGAGTTTCTTCCCTTCTAGCCCGCGGGGGTAACGGTCGTCGGCTGGATCATACTTCAACTCCCCGAGGTTCTCGGAGTCGCCGGGATCACCACCGCTACCGCCGTCCCTACCTGGGTCGCCGGACTCTTCGCCGCCCGGGCCGCCGGCACCGCCGGCGTNCCCGCAAACGGCGTCGCTTACCCTGGCCCACGAGCCTCCATCACGTCGAGGTCGGACTCACTCTCTGAGTCTCTCTCCCCCCCCCAACCTTGGCGTGATGCATCCGCTCTGCTCTCGCCCTCCCCGCCCTCCTCGTCATCTGCGAGAGGTAGCAGCTGCGGGGGAGCGGGCGATGCAGTGGGCACGTGGTGCCAGGTGAAATTGCGGGTGGTGATTACGGTTCCAGCTTAGGTTAGCATGCGAACGCAGTCACGGGGGTGATTGTGGGCAGGACCAACGTACCATCCTTTTTCACCCTTGGGTTGCGACTTTACTTTTCTTCTTGACTTGAACACGGCTGGTTTGAGAAACGGGTATGTAGACCCGACAGGCGGTGGGGAGTCGTGGAACATCTCGTCGGCGGATTTGTGTCCCTCGTTTGATTTATTGGCGGTGCAGTTCAGCTGATGGCATGCACACGAAATGGCCTCGGCCCACAACCCGGGGTGGTTCGGTGCGTCGGGGAACAGTTGCGTCGCTAGGATGCGCGACGCAAGCGCGGCATCAGTGATCAACCCTAGCGCTCTCTCCGCTACACCGTTGTATTTTGGGGTGTGAGGGGGGGTGAACTCTTGTTTGATGCCGTGTCTGCGGCAAACTTCCGCAAACTGCCCCTGGAACTTGCCGCCACCGCTGGTACCTGCGATATAAACCTCACACGGAACCCCTTTCGTTCGGTCGTCCCCCAGGAACTTTTCAAACCCAACCGCTGCGTCAGACTTGTGCTTCAAGAAGAATACACGCGTCCAACGGGAGAAATCGTCTCTGCTGATCAGTGTGTACCAGTTGCCACCAATGATCCTGGTTTTCATCTTTCCCCCCAAGTCGAGATATACGCGAAAAAACGTAACTGCGCGTGTGCTCGTGCTCTTCGGGACGGGTTTTACCTGCCCCTTGGACGTCGAACAGCCAAGACAGGGTAGCAGCGGTGTATCCGTCAGCTGCACTCCCTGCCGCTCCGCCGTGATCCTGGGCAATATCTCGTAGGCATGGCCGTGCGCGAGGTGGTACTCGTGAGGTTTGTTCGTGGGTCTGCGAACATTGTTGTTGGTTACATGTGCTGGATGATTTTGTGTCACGCAGACTGGTAAGATTACCGTTTGGTAGGGTCACCGCGATGATTTACGGGGCCCCTCCTCCCCCTCCTAGACTTCAGTGGGTTGGCGCTGTTGGCAAAGCGCTGTAAAACACGCCACCCCAAATATAGCCCCATAGTATGCGCTACCAAAGACGCGTGACGCATGGATGCGTGGAGTGAGGATTGCTTACGAAAACCTCACAGGTTGAGTAATGTAGGAGATTGCCGGACACATAGACGTGTTGAGTGATTATAGCTGTATACTGAAACCCCACGGAAAGGGGAGGTTTGAGATTGCCAGACACATAGACGGGTTGCGTGGGGATAGCTGCTGGAACCCCACGGGTTGAGTGATGTTGGAGTGCCGGACACATAGACGCGTTGAATGAGGATAGACACATATTGAACCTCACAGGTT